GCGGGCCTCTCACTGTTGTGGCCTCTCCCGTTGCGGAGCACAAGCTCCGGACGCGCAGGCTCAGCGGCCATGGCTCACGGGCCCAGCCGCTCCGCGGCACGTGGGATCTTCCCGGACCGGGGCACGAACCCGTGTCCCCTGCATCAGCAGGCGGACTCTCAACCACTGCGCCACCAGGGAAGCCCGATGGCGCTGCTTTTAATGCTTAACTGCAGAGGTTCTGCGTTCTGATGCTCCACAGCTGGCTGAGGGGTTCATAGAAAACAGAATCTTTGAAGTTAAGACTTGAAATGTGACCACTGGCAAGTTATACTTCCTTAATCTCTCTGTATCTCACTTTCTTTTGGAAATTACACAGTCTGGAAACAAATTTTTAAAAACAGTTTTTGGATTCCCCTTGATAACTTCTGGGGTACGTAGGCTGAGAGTGCAGGTATGGTCAGTGGAAATCTGAGACAAATCACAGATGCATGTTTGGGGACTGACTGAAATGTGCTAGTGCACCATATTTATTGTCATTTTGCACAGAGCATTACTAATGAGAGCGAACACGTGGAAGCACACTGATAATACGTATTTGCCCAGGCTTCCAGACTTCATGTAATCCCGTAGTCACCAATTTGTATAAATGCTTAGAACAGTGCCTCTTTCTTTGCTCCCTTTCTTCGTCTATTTCTATTGGCTGCTTGATCTTGGTCTATAAACATGCTCAGCCTTAACCTTGCTTCTCTCTTCGAAATGCTGACCCAACCCTCTTTTACATTTTCTTTCAACTTTCACTAAAGAACAGACATTTTCTTTCTCCACTTCTCACCACCAACTTATTCCTTAGCCCTTAGAGGTTGTAGATATTACCTCTACTCCCCCGAAACTTCCAGATGTCTCCTAAACAGTAACACCCTTTCTTGGTTAGATTCTGAAACCTCAATTAACTCAAGCGTTTGACAACACCTTGAAATGCACACTTCCTTTGGCTTTTTCTCCCCTAGGGACTAAGTTCTGCCTCCAACCATCACCCTTACTGAATCTTCTCGGACTTCGCCTGGCCTGTGGATGACATTTTCCAGAGTCCTGATCTGGTCCCTCCTGTCCTCTAGCTCTGCACACTCTGCACGATCCTGCCCATCTGGTTTGTGTAGGCGCTTCCTGAACTTCAGTCATTTCCATCCACCGTCACTGCTTCTGTGATACACATGTGCCAATTGGATTTAAAGTCAAAAAGACTTAGAAATGGGGACTTCCCTGGTGGCACAGTGGTTAAGACTCTGTGCTCCCAATGCAGGGGGCCCAGGTTCGATCCCTGGTCAGGGAACTAGATTCCCACATGCATGCAGCTACGAAGAGTTTGCATGCCACAACCAAGGAGCTGGCGAGCCACAACTAGGGAACCTGTGAGCTGCAAGTAAGATCTGCCGCAACCAAAAAAAAAAAAAAAAACACCACAAAAACAACCTTATAAATGTTTATTTTAAAAGGAAACTACATTGCCAAAATGGAAAACCAGTATGATGTGAAATGGTGTTGGATACACAAAGCTGAGCCTGGTGCCTGGGAAAGTGGGAGATTATAAATTAGGGAGCCGGTCAAGAGCCACTAAAGCCAAGCTAAACATTTCTCCTCAACTCTGAACAGAAGTGTTACTTGCTTCAATGCTTACATGTTATTTCACGGTCCATGTGTTACCTAAGTTCATCTCTTGTACAAGTGTATGTATTCCACATTTTGAGAAAGACTGATTTAAACTGTTTTTTGATAAGTCCCAAGTATTAACTGCTTAATCCCGATTTCTCCTCTGCGCGAATTTCTAACTGCCTATAAAACATCTTTTTACTCTTTTCCTGCCGGCACCTTAAATTTAGCATTTCTCAAACTACAGCTGACATCCTGTTCCAGTGTACCCCTCTTCTTGGGTCCCTAGCTCAAAGCAGGTCACGCTGTCTTCTCGGGCACCCAGCGTAGGTAGAAACCTTTGATCTCTATCCTGCACCCCTGGATCCCTGGCACTTCAGTTGTCTTTGCTGTATGGAGTCGAGTCTATCCTCTCCTTAGCATTTCTTAATGCACCTAGTAGGCTTTCATCAACTATCTGTCACCTCTTCAGACCAGTCTGTTTGGTCGTTTTGGTGGTGGTGATGGGCTGGGGGGTTTCCGGGTTTCGTTTGCACGGGCCACCAGAGTTCTCATCCTAAACAGGATGGATCGTTTCACTCCCCTGCTCAGAAGCTTCGAATGTCTTGCTATTGCCTTCCCCATGACATGAAACGACCCCAGATGGTTTAGTCCAAGCACTCTTCAGTGGGTGGCGCCCTCTTCACGCCTGAAGGCGAGGTCTCTGTGGCCCTTCCTGACCTCCTGCTCGCTCAGCACTCCCACAGCACCTCGCTGTTTCCCTCGTTTAGAACTTAACCTCATTCTGCCTCATAGCCACCTGCTACCTGCCCAGCACCCTCCGCTCCTAGCCCCCTTGCTTTGGAGAGTTACTCTTCCCTGTTTCCAACCACGTGATGCTGCCAATCTTCGTATCACTACCCGCCTGACACCAACCCCTCTCCCCTCCCCCGAAAAGCCCAAGGGGGAGACGGGGTCAGTATAAGACCCAGGCTTGGCCAACTGTGAGGCCCAGTTGCCTCATCACATGGCTGGTCAAAGCACAGACACATGGCCCAGTCCTTTGAAGCTGCCAGGTAGAGTAAAATGTCGCTCGGATATTCCCCCTTCCCACACCCCTTTCCCCCCATCGCAGAGAGAATGCCACCAAGAAGGAAACGATGAGGCCAAGTTGGTACGGAGGATGCTGAGGCAAGAAACAGTCCTGGTGACCCGCCTGGGTCTGTGCAACAGACATTCCCTGTTTCACACCTGCTCCCTGTTTCTCAGCCCCGTGAGCCAGTACACGGGGATAAGTAAGGTCATTCCAATTGTCCTTCTGTCGTGTGCAAGCAACGGAGCCCCAACTAACACATGCTTCCTATGTCCTTTGGTTACAGAATCAGACGTGTTTCATGCGCACAGACGATGGAGCAGAAGAAGACGGGGACAGGGTCACAGAGGTGGTAAATGTGAAGTAGGCTCTAAATAGGCGGGTGCCAGGAAGAAAAGGTGGGGCGCCAGGGGGACGGTATTTCTAGTAGAGGAAACAGCATGGAGGCAAGTACAGCTAGATAGTGAAAAACTTGAAAGTGCTTGCAGGTAAGGTTAAAAAAAGGTTAAGTGCTGAATTGTGAGAGGTACTATACACCATAGGTGGTAGGCAGAGTAATGGTCCCCCAGATATTCACATTCTAATCCTTGGGACCCACGAGTATTACACAGCAAAGGATACTTAAGACTGTACAGGAATTAAGCTTGTTAAGTCAGAGGATCTTTAGATAAGGAGACAATCCTAGATTATCTGGGTGGGCCCAGTGCAATCACAAGGGTCCTTAAAAGTGGGAATGGCAGGCAGAAGAGCTCAGCGATGCGAGACGGAAGAGGGGCTCTGAGCCAAGGGCAGTGGGTGGCCCCTCGGAGCTGGAACAGCCCAGGAAGTGGCTCCCACCCAGAGCCTCAGGAGCGGGACGCCGCCCTGCCAGCGCCTTGATTTTGGCTCAGTGACTCCCAGGTCAGACTTTGGACCTACAGAACTGTAAATAATACATCTGTGTTAAGTCAGTCTGTGGTAATCTGTTGCAGCAGCAGTAGAAATGAATACATAGCACGATCACATTGGAACTTTCTTCTGCAGGTAAGGGAGTCCTTTGTCCACTCTTAAAATATTTGTTCAATGTTTACTATACTGTGCTGGGCAGAGGAGATGAAATGGTGAATAAGACAGATGTGTCTCTGTCTTCTGGCTACCGGGCCCAGCCTAGAGGCTGGGAGACAAAGAAGAAGGTATTAGGGTGAACGGGGGTGGGAGATGCACATCAGCAATCAGGGTGCAGAAGGAGGGTCAGTTTGGTATCCCTTCCTGTCTCACCAGCCCAGGTCCTATCGTAGAGACTTTCAATAAATATATGGCAATGAATGCATGACACTTAGGAGAAAACGAAAGGATGCTCTGACTGCATGTGGAAGATGAAGGAGAAAGAGGAAACCATGGTGAGTTTCAAGTTCCTGCTTGACTGACCAGGTAGGTGGTCGTGCTAATTAGCTGAGACAGAAACAGAAAAGGTTCAACTGCATTTTCTGGGAGAATACAGTGAGTTTCATTTTGAACTCTTAATCACTGATTAATTCTACAAATATTTATGGAGCCCATATTCTACGTGAGGCCTTTGCCAAGAAGTGGGCAGGGAGCCAGGAAGACTCTGATTTCATGAAGCCTGCGTTCTAGAGGGGAGTGTACTCATCACATATTTACAGGGAAAGCAGCTTCTATCGCTTTCGCTGCTGTGTTTTAAGGAAGGAGAGGGGGAATCTCACGAGTGCAGCTCCAATTTCATATAAACCCCCTTTTCCCCTCTGAATACCTGCTGCTTCTGCTTTTAGCCGCCTTGCCCCAGTTCCTACACAGATTCCAATAAGGCTGTGGAAGAAATATGTAATTTATAAAAAAAAAAAATTTAAAAGAAACAAATTTTAGCTTGTAAAGAAAATTTAAAGTGGATTTCCAGGGACGGCTGGTAATATGGACGGAATGTTTGTGTTCCCCCAAAAATTCATGTTGAAGTCCTAACCCCCAATGTGATCATATCTGGAGATGAGGCCTTTGGGGGTGATTAGGTTTAGATGAGGTCTAAATTAACATCCTTACAGGGAAAGGCAGAGACACCATAGTGGGTGCTCTCTCCCTGCCTTGTGAGGAGGCTACACGGAGAAGGTGAGAAGAGGCTTCTCACAAGGCACTGAATCCGCGGTGCCATCAGATCAGTACGATGTGGTACGTGAACAGCCGCCCCCGAGGAGTGCGCACCACGTACTCCAGAAGCACATGGGCAGGTGGTGCCCGAGTGAAACAGACCTTCATTTTTATTCTTCAGGACACCACCTGAATTATTTTCCACTTGTTTTACAGCACAGATTAAGTGCAATGTACGCATTATTCCAGGTACTCAGTTAAGGATCTGGAAGTCAGCAGCATTATACTTACACAGAACTCACATAAGATTGTTTTGAAAATTACCACGGAACTGACCTGTTCCGGGACTCTTCGGTTTGGGGACTGAGGGGACCTGGTCCACCTGCTCCCTGGGCTGTGATCAATTTCCCCACACTGGGCACTGAGGGAGCCTCTCCACTCAGAGGAGCACTGTCCCCAGCGAACCCCAAGTGCCCTCCTGGCACATCCCCTCCCTCTGCTTGAGCGAAGTGAAGATGCAGAGGCACTTTCTCCAGGTTTCCCCTTCCTACTTGGCACTGTGATGCTGGTCCAGCTAGTTGATTACTTCACTGCGTGTCACCGTTCACGATCGATCCTGTTTTGACATGCCTCAGGTTCAGCTGTGGCTTTCACGCTGAATGCAGTGTTCATGTTGAGTAAGTTCCTATCTTTACACTTCTCCTCTGGACCACACACTCAGGATGTTTCCTGCTCAAACCACCTTCATCGTTGGTGACTTCAGTGCTTCTGTTCTCTTTTCCTGTACTCTTGTCCACGAGGGACACGTGAAGGACACCATGGGCATCAAAGGTGCCGTGATTTGAGGAAGGACACAGGATGGGGGTGGGGAGGGGGGGGGGGAGGATGCTTGAGCGCTCACTTCCCGGGCAGTGGGGACAGAGGGGGAGGATGCTGGAGCGCACACTTCCCGGGCAGCCGGTTTACCTTGGTTGTTGCTCAGCCACCGTTACTGACTTAACTCAGCACAACAGGCTGGTCATCAGAAGAGGTCTGATGCATCTGCCTGGTGGCAATCATCTTTATACTTCACCCCAATGATCGTGGTTCCACCGAACGTCTTCATTCCAAGAGAAAAAGGGGAGACATCCAAAAGCCGTAACTCTTGGGCACTTTCAAATTCGTCCCTAGTAAATACGGCTGCTCATCAAGGTTGATGCTTTTGTTTAATGTCATTGAAGAATTCTCACAAAAGGTTTATTTTCAAGTTTTCCTTGAGGCATAATTTACATACAATAATCTGCACTTGTTTCCATTCTAAGTATACAATTTGAAGGCTTTTCACAGATAGACACCTAATAAGTAACACCACAGCGTTTCCATCACCCCACGATCCCTTGTGCCCCTTGGGAATCTACTGCCCTACCCACCACCCCACCTCCAAGCCCTAGGGATCCACTGATCTGTTTTCTGTAACTATAGATTAGATCAGCCTTTCTAGAGGTTCCTATAAATATAACAGCATGGATTCTTTTGTGTCTAGATTGTTTTCACTCAGCATAACGATCCTGATATTCATTCATGTTGTTGCATGGATGGTAATTCATTGCTTTTACTGCTGAGTGCTACTCCACTGTATGGCTATCCCAGTTTCTTTATCCATTCACCTACTGATGGGCATTTGATTGTCTAAAGGTGCTAAGAACATTCAGGTACGAATCAGTGTGAGGACATGTTTTCATTTCTCATGAGTAAATACTCAGGAGTGGAATTGTTGGGTCGTATAGTAACACAACAATTAAATTTCTGAGGGACTGCCGGGCTGTTTTTGCAAAGTGGCTGTACCAATGATTATTCCCACAAGTAATGTATGAAACTTCCATCTGCTCTATATCCTTCCCAACACTTGGTATTGTCAGTCCTTTTAATTTTAGTCATTCTAGTGAGTGTGTAGTAACAGCGCATTGCAGGTTTTATTTGCACTTCCCTGGTAAACAATAACGTTGAACATCTTCTCATGTTCATTTGGCCGTTCACATATTTTGTGAGACGTCAGTTTAAATATTTTGCCCATTTAAAAAACTGGGTTGTCTTTTAGAGTAGAAAGAGTTCTTCCTTTTTTTTAATGCGTAGATCTTTTTTTAAAAAAATTATTTATTTTATTTTTGGCTGCGTTGGGTCTTCGTTGCTGCACGTGGGCTTTCTCTAGTTGTGGCAAGTGGGGGCTACTCTTAGTTGTGGTGCGCGGGCTTCTCATTGCAGTGGCTTCTCTTTTTGTGGAGCACGGGCTCTAGGCATGCGGGCTTCAGTAGTTGTGGCACGCGGGCCTAGAGAGCAGGCTCAGTAGTTGTGGCGCACAGGCTTAGCTGCTCCGCGGCGTGTGGGGTCTTCCTGGACCAGGGCTCGAACCCATGTCCCCTGCATTGGCAGGCAGATTCTTAACCACTGCGCCCCCAGGGAAGCCCCCTGAGTAGAAAGAGTTCTTTGATTATTCTGGACAAGTCCTTTGTCAGGTTATATATTGAGAATATTTCCTCCCAGCCTGGGATTTGCCTTTTCATATTCTTAAGAGTGTCTTTCAAAGAGCAGTGGTCTTAGTTTTGATGAAGTTCAACTTATCAAATTCGTTCCCCAAGATGCATGTTTTGTTTGTTTTTTCCTAACAAATCTTGGCCTTCCCCAAGGTCATGAGGCCTTTTTCCTATATTTTCTTCCTGAGGTTTTATAATTTTAGCTTTTATATTTAAAAGGCTCTGATTCATTTAGAAATGGTGTGAAGGATAGGGTTCATTATGACTATCCCATTGTTCTAGCACCATTTGTTGAAAAGATTAGTAATAAAATAAAGAGAGCCTCGAAGACTTGTTGGAGTATAATTAAAGGTCTGACATTCACGTCATAGAGAGAGAGTAGATTTCTCCTCAGAAATCACGGAGGCCGGAAAAAAGTGACACAGTAATTTGTAGGTATTGAAAGAAATGAACTATCAACTTGGAATCCTCTACCTAGTGAAAAAATCCTTCAGGAATAAAGGGGAAATCTAGACGTTTTCAGATGAAGAAAAACTAAGAGACTATGCTTTTGCAAACTTACCCTGAAAGAATGGCTAAAGAATGTTCTTGAAACAGAAAAGAAACAATAAAAGAAAAAATCCTGGAACATCATTGAAAAAAAAAGAACAGAAAGAATAAAAATGGGGGTAAATACAATAGGATTTCCATCTCCTCTTGAGTTTTCTAAATTATGATTGATGGTTGCAGCAAAAATTCTAACACTGATGAAGTTCTCAAAGTGGGGAGTAAAGGGATGTAAAGAGCAGTAAGGTTTCCACCCTTGATTTAATCTGGCAAAATGCTGAAACCAGTGGATTGTGATAAGCTAGGTATGTATAATGTGACACTTAGAGCAAGCACTAAGTGTCTATGCAAAGAGATATACTCAAAAACAATACAGATAAATCAAAATGGAATCCCCCCAAATGGCTAAGTAACTCATAGGAAGGCAGGGATTGATACAGGCAATGACTTGGAATGGATCTCAAGGGTATTATACTCATTGAAAAAAGCCCATTTTAAAGTCACACCCTGTATGATTCTATTTATATAACATTCCCCAAATGACAAAATGATAGAGCTGGAGAATAGATTACTTATTACCAGCGGTTAGGGATGGTCGGGGAGGGAAGGGTGTGACTATAAAGGGACAAGCACAAGGGAGATCTCTGTGGTGATAGAACAGTTCTGTATCCAGATCTTGTGGTTACCTGGATCTACACGTGTGATTAAATGTGACAGAACTATGCGCACACATGGTACTACTGTCCATCTTGTCTTCTGCTCTATTTCCCGTGTGGTTTACCTCCACCATGACGCCCTCCACGCAATTCCATCATTCTGTCAGCTTCCTCCCTCCTCAACTTTGCTTCCACACTTCTAAATGCTTTCAGACAGTTCTAACTGGATGTCTCCTTGCTACTCTACTCTCAACACATCTTAAATGTGGCTCCTCCCCTCCCCCCAACCTCTCTACGTTTTGCCATCTTTCTACCTGTCACCCACAACAAACGTCAGTCATCCTTATTCTTCCTTCTCCCTGGCCTCCCGGTACCAACCACTTCATTTGTCTTAAAGGATTCTTTTAAAAATTCATTTCTGTTCTCACTGTCACCAGTAAAGTTCTGGACCCCATGAACTCTTGCTTGAAACTTGATGAGAAACTTCCTAACAGACCACTAGGCCTCCAAACTCTCACCAACCTTATCTAGTCTGTAGAGCAAATATCAGAATATCCTTTGACGTGAAAACTGTGTGTACACAGGAAAACTAGAACGGGAAATCTAGAGATCTGAGCAGAAGTCAAACAAGACATTTCTCCAAAAGCAGTTAAACACATTTACTTAATTAAAAACTTCTCTTCACACAGTCATACAACTCATAGGTGACATTGTGTCCCTCTCAGTAGAAGTGCAAAATACATACCTTAACTCTACGAGTAATGCTGAGGAACTGACAAGTTTTATCATAAAGTTCTTCCAGATTTTCTCTGTCCCAGTAGAAATCAGGAGTGATCAAGAAGTCTGAACTCAAGTTTATGCGGTGTCTTAAAAAAAGGAAAATCATTAACTTTTAATTTTTATCTTGAATTAAAAAATCATGGTCTGTTTCTTTTTTGATGTATTTATTGATTGATTTATTGACTGACTGAAGTATGGTTAATTTACAATGTGTTAATTTCAAGTGTATGGCAAAGTGATTCAGTTACACACACACACACACACACACACACACACACACACATATGTATATATATATATGTATATATATATACAGGGGACATGGGTTTGAGCCCTGGTCTGGGAAGATCCTACATGCCGCGGAGCAACTAAGTCCGTGAGCCACAACTACTGAGCCTGTGCTCTAGAGCCTGTGAGCCACAACTACTGAGCCCACGCGCCTAGAGCCCGTGCTCCGCAACAAGAGAAGCCACCGCAATGAGAAGATTGCACACCGCAACGAAGAGTAGTGCCCGCTTGCTGCAACTAGAGAAAGCCCGTGCGCAGCAATGAAGACCCAATGCAGCCAAAATAAATAAACTTATTAAAAAAAAATTTCTAAGCTTTTTTCACTAAAATTGGTTACAATATACATGCACATATATTTGTGTGTGTGTGTGGATAGGTAATCAGATGGCTCAAAAATAAAAAAGACAGAAAAAGGTAAAAATTGAGCAATCTTACTCCTATTCTTAACCCCATTTTTCCCTTTCTCCCACTCCCCGCGGGTAGCCGCTGCTAGTTACACACACACACACACACACACACACACACACACACAAACACACACACTCTCTCTATTTCTACCCTTTTTACATATGAGGCCTGAGTTTGCTTTTAAACAAAACTTTATGTTATAGAAGTAACACATAAATAGCTGTTCACTATAAAAAAGAAAAACCCTAGAGAAGAACTCAGAAAACACTGGTAGGCCCCTTACCCTAACAAATCAAATCCTTTCGGCCCTGCCAATACTCTCCTGGGTCCTTCCAGATCTGCTTCCATGCACACATGCGCACGTGAGAGAATGAATATTTATGTTGTTTGCTTACAAGTAGGATCATACCATGTATAATCTGTGACTGCCACATTTCTACTTCTATTTCTCGTCCTAGATTGGCCACATTCCTTTGAATAACACATAAGCACTCTTATTGTAAAGAGACGAAAACTTAGGATAACAACAGTAAGACTCTACGAAACTATTCACAAACCTAAGTATATCAAGTTCTAATTTCTGAGTCCCAGTATTATAATTCGCTCTATCAAATTCTGCTCGCATGACCAAGAGAAGAGGGGAGAGGAGTCTGTCTCCCCCATTTCTTAGCGAGCTCAAGGCTTTAGATGTGCTGCGGGACGCTCTCATGCAGGGCTTTTTATTTTTGTTGGTGCCCTGAGTTAGGGTCCCTGAGCTTTGAGAAGGGCCTAGATGATGCAACACTGGACCACTTCTCCTCTCCAGGGCAAGTAACTAAGGAGAATGTGGAAAAGCAACTCTTAGGTAAACTATTGACAAGGAACTCCAGTAACTCACCCCATACACGACAAGGGCCAGAACACTGAGAATCCTGCCTAGTGAGAATAACACCAAGATTCAGGGTGTTTCATTCCATAAATCTTGGGAAAACTACAAGAATGAAATAAACTGAAGGCCTTTTAACTTAACTTTAAATGATGTACTATTATATTTCATCAATTTTAAGACACTCTTCTTCCCATTTTAACATCTCTCAAAATGGGAGGCATCTTTAAAATTGATGATGTCTTACAGGTGGCAGTTGAGACTTAGTTGTCATTGCCTTAGATGACTTATTTCTCTTATTCTTTCCTTTTTATGTATGCCCAAGAGGAAATGTGATATATCTACATCCAAATAAGACTGGAAGAGCTATTTCTGTAGTGCAAAATTAAAATTCTGTGATAAAAAAGCATTGTCTCATATGTTAGTGGGCAACATTTTCACTTTCTTGTGGCATCGTATGGTGTCTCAGAGTCAATGACATATGGTACATCACTTTTCCGTAGCAATTAGGTCTATTCAGCATTATGATGCAGTGATAGACTTTTACTGAGAATTACCCTTGTCCAAGTTCTAGAATGCATCTTTCCACCTTTGAATAACACCTACTACGCTCGCTGACGTAGGTTTAACGCAGAGTGATTATGGTCTCTCTTGCACATGCAGTTTCTTCCAGTACAGTTCTAATACAGCGCAACTGCTTCTAATGGATAAGAGTTCTCCAAGCTTATAATGAAATAAAAACAGCTGCAATTCCCATAAAGATATAAATGTTTGCTCTTTACTGTAGAGCTACAGGGATATTTTCTGGAGATTGTTAAATATATGAAATATTTCATTTACAGAGAAAATTTTACCTTAAGGCAAAGAGTTCACCCATTTTCTGCATAACTTCTTCATGAGATAGTTTCACTTTCTTCCCAGCTTTTAAAGCCTATTTGGGAGGCGGAAAATAGATACATACATACACAGGTTTCCCTTCTCACTAGCATTTTCTATGATGTACATTCCTAATCTCCTAATGAAAAACCAGGGGCTCTTTTCCCTAGTATAATTATTCTTTCACAGTAAAAACAAAGTTAATTACAGTAAGCATGAGTTTTAATATATTCTGAAGTTTTGATATAATTTTAGATGCATTTTTCATGCCACTATTTTCCTTGTAATTTGTCAAGACACTTTTTAATCGAGAAAAGTGGTCATAATTTCCCTCCTTAGAGAGGAAACATTTCATTTTATTTCCCTTCAATTCAGTTACATTAAAATACCATTAGAGAAAAGTAATTTGAATTTTAAGTTTTAAAAGGTTTCTTATTTTATCATTTTACATGTAACTGGGTTTTTTTTTTTCCCTGCTTAAATTCAGTGCAGCTTTCTTAATGTTTATTATTACTTTATTGTACTTCTAAATTCATCATTATAGTGGGAAATTTGTATTTTTTCCCAATAGAACTCAGTCCTTGAAAACAAACATAAAATTGGTATAATTACCTCTGGAATCGACTGAATAGATTCAACAAATTTATCCAGTGACGCTTCCCAGATAGCCAGTTTCACTGGGGGAAAAGAAATTAACAACAGAACATTTATCGTCATATTCATGTTTCTACAAAATGTAAAACTGCACAGTACCTTCACTGCCGTTTCAACAATAGTTTAAGAAGGCAGATGTCCAAAAAATGTGAGACTGAAATTTAAGAATCGTTACTTATTACAAAAGATGGCACTAAGTAGAAAGAGAAGCAAGTTGAGTGGATTTCCAAGCCCTGCTGGCAGACCAAAGCTACACTGGGTAGAATCCCTGATTTTTTCATACTACATCTCAGAAGCTAAGAGGAACGAAGGGTGGCTCTGTAGAGGGGCAGAAATCAGGGCTTCCTGACATTCCCTCCACTCCTCTGGGCTGTGGGTACAGCTCAGAAGTCCCGAAGCCTCCTGGATGGTATGTGTGGTCCACCACGGCAGCAGCCTAGTGCAGACTGGTGGCAGGAACGTTTCTTAGAGAACTTCTACAGTTCTATTCAGGTGTATATGGATCTTGCCGAAAAAACTGAGAGCCACTGTGACTCTCTGTCCCATTCCTGTGAAAAACCAGAGTGTATTTTTCTACATAGAGGCCTGTGCCCAATCACAGAAGGCTGTGCTTTCTCTGCCTGGATTAGAGACAATCTAAGACTAACAATCTCAGAGAGGAGGAGAGAGGAAAACAAAGGTAGTGATAATAATAATAATAATAACAGCAACAACACAAAAGAATATTTTTGGAGAGGTAAGCTTTACCAATACCATTAATAAGGAATGAATAACTATAGCACAGATACTATGTATTATACTCTATACTACATATATTTTTCTCTTGGAGAGAAAAAAAAGGAAAAGGAATTATAAGGCTTTGCTGAGTACTCTGCGAAAACATGTCAAAGTCTTTACTAAATACTTCAACTTCCCTCGATGAAATGAAAACTATGTGATACCGTCTCTGATAAGTAGTAGTAACTTACCTGAAAGGCAAAGGGCATTTGAGAAAGCAAATTTCTCTAGAACAGCGTCATCTAAATCTAGCTCTGAATTTAACCTGATTTCCCCTCTGTGAAGTTTTGTCTGTCCCCTGAGAAAAGAAAAAAAAAAAAAGTAGTTTCTAAATCACAAAAAGTACTTTTTTTCTTTTGAAAAATAATCTTTATAATCTTTCTAGAGGTCATTTTGACAATCTGTATCAAGAGTCTTACAAATGTTCTTATACCCTATGATCCAAGTAATTCCACTTCTAGGAATTTATCCTAAGGAAATAATCAAAGATGCAAGGAAAGATTTGTGTACAAAAAACTTTCTATGGGGACTTCCCTGGTGGCGCAGTGGTTAAGAATCCGCCTGCCGATGCAGGGGACATGGATTCGAGCCCTGCTCCAGGAAGATCCCACGTGCTGCGGAGCAAATAAACCCGTGTGCCACAACTACTGAGCCTGCATGCCACAACTACTGAAGCCCATGCACCTAGATCCCGTGCTCTGCAACAAGAGAAGCCACCGCAATGAGAAGCCCGTGAACTGCAACAAAGAGTAGCCCCTGCTCACCGCAACTAGAGAAAGCCTGCGCACAGCAACGAAGGCCCAACGCAGCCATAAGTAAGTAAATAAATAAATGAATAAATAAATAAATTTATTAAAGAAAAAAGACGAATAGAGATATACATTAAAAAAAAACTTTCCATGGTCAAATGCTGAATAGTAAGATATCAGGAAGGAAACTAAAAGTTCAACAGAAGAACGGTTCATTTATAGGAATTCACACAACAAAAATGAACAAGCATGTTTTGAAAGGGTATTTAGTAGAAAAGGGAAAATGACTACAATAATTTGCTAAGTGAAAAAATGCTGAATATAAAACTATGTAACTATACACAGTATAATCTGAAATCACATGGACATGGTGAGTATGGGGAGGGAGATGAGGCAGCTGTGACAAACCAAGATGTGTATGTAGGGAACTCTGGAGCGACTGGGGAGGAGGGGGAAGGGAGGGAATCTGGGAGTGTAAGTATCACAAGCAAATAGGAAAAGTAGAGGCTAAACCTTCACGAGAGACGTGAGACCAGAAGACATGGACAAAGGTTGGTGGACGAGAAGATGATACAGGAAAGCTCATCGCTGGCTATTACCACTTAGCTCTTATCCCAATTAGTCTTTCTATAGCTGGTGTCTCTTCCAAATTTCCCTAAAGCTCTGCTTGTGTCACTTCCTTTCTCAACACAAAGACTTTTTTTCCTTCTCATATTCCACTAGACCAGTACCTCCCCGAGAGAAAAGACCTTTTAATCCTGTTCATTCTGCCTTCTCTCTCCGCCCTAACATCCCTTCTCATTTTTGCACCCTTGCTGTGACATGGAAATTGGCCAATACGTTGCCTACCCATACATTTGACCTGAGAGCGGTACAGCAGTGGTACCCTCATTTCCACAAGCGGCTCTCTTAGAGCACCCCGTCATTATACTTTATACTTTTTACACTCAAATTCAATGGGAAAAAAGCAAAAAGGATTTACTTCAGAGAAGACTTTACTAGAATAATTTAACAGGTTCATTCTAATGAAGGCATACCATATTACTGATTTTGGCTGCTTAGGAAACTTACTATTTTGGGGTTATACTATCTACTTGTTTTAATTTATGGGTAGCCTGAGAAGCTATGAAAATAATATCTATCGGGCTTCCCTAATGGCGCAGTGGTTGAAGGTCCGCCTGCCGATGCAGGAGGGGACACGGGTTCGTGCCCCGGTCTGGGAGGATCCCACATGCTGTGGAGCGGCAGGGCCCGTGAGCCATGGCCCCTGAGCCTGCATGTCCGGAGCCTGTGCTCCACAACGGGAGAGGCCACAACAGTGAGAGGCCCGTGTACTGCAAAAAAAAAAAAAAAAAAAAAAATCTATCCACTAATATTTATTGTTTCAGCTCTGTATTTGTACCAATAACTTTTTTCTTAAAACTAGTCTCCAAATTAATAATTTATCTTCTCTACTGCTGTACCTAGTTATTCCAAGCACCCTTTTCATAAACTCGATAAAAAGTTGCTTACTCTGTTTTTGAGTAGTTAAGCTCTTCATTCTCCCAGTGCACCAATGCAATTTCATAGGGGTGAATTTCATGTTTTTCAAGAACTTGCATCACATGCTTCATCTAGAAGAAAAGGAAGATTAACCTGAAATTATAACCGACTCCCTCAGTACAAAATAATGTTACAGAGTTAATGCTTGTAACATTTTTTTTATTACATTTGATAACATTTCTTCTGTTCTTTAGGTTTTAAGGAGAAAGCAAATCCATGGTGATACTAAACTAATTGCAACGATATATTCATTTGCTTTTACATTTGGAAAACACAGACAAGCTTAAGGAGGAAAACAAAACCTCCCACTATCCCATGACCCAAAGGAAACCCCTAATAACATTATGGTTTGTATTCTTTAAATCTTCAAAACAAAAAGTTTAAGTAACACACTTGTAAAAATTTAAACACAGAGGCATAGAAAGTGATTATCTCTCTCTGTTCTCCTGAATTTTTTTTTTTTTTCACACACACACACACACTGTATTTTATTTTTACAAGAGATAAACTGACACCAAGCATTGTAACTGGATGACCACAACAAAAGCAACAATGATTGCAATTACCAAACACGAAACACACTCACACTGTGTCATAATATTGACATTCAGTCCAGGAATCCTCCACTGTAACAGCTCCTTCACTTTGCAGTGAAAATTGATTTGTATATTTTTTTGCCTCTGAGTCCTTGTGGGATTTTTTTTTTTAATTTAAACAGAAAGTCACAAAAATTATAATCATCCTCATCAGTTCACTCAGTCCCATGTAATTAATTTTCTTTTTCATCTTGATCTTTTGTTAGCACTTTAATGAGTTCATCAGTTTTCCATTAGAGTTCTGAAAATGCTTATTCATTCAGTTCAGCAGTACAGTCTCCTGAATTTCTAATCCTCTAATGTAACCACCATTAAACTTGGTGCATATCCTTCCAGACTTTTCCCTATGTGTATATGTATGTACATTTAGTTTGCTTTTTATATAAATGGGATGATACTGTACATATGAACATTTTCAATGCTATTCTCCTTCATGGAGGAACCATAATTGATTTAACCGTCCTAAATGTCCATCCATGGGTTTTTTTTTTTCTATTCTCTACTATCACGATGTCACATGTGCCAGCCTTATGCGTGTATCTTCAAGGACTTGGGGGAATATTTCTTTAGGATTTGTTGGAACAAAAGACATGCACACTTAAAATTTTTTTTTTTTTTTTGCTGTACGCGGGCCTCTCACTGTTGTGGCCTCTCCCATTGCGGAGCACAGGCTCCGGACGCGCAGGCTTAGCGGCCATGGCTCACGGGCCCAGCCGCTCCGCGGCATGTGGGATCTTCCCGGACCGGGGCACGAACCCGTGTCCCCTGCATCGGCAGGTGGACTCTCAACCGCTGCGCCACCAGGGAAGCCCCACACTTATAATTTTGATAAATGTTTCTAAAATACTCTCCAAAACAGTTTTTCCAACTTTAGAATCCAAAGATTTATGAGAGCATTCTTTTTTTTTTTGAATTTAATTTTTTTTTTTATATAGCAGGTTCTTATTAGTTATCTATTTTATACATATCAGTGTATATATGTCAATCCCAATCTCCCATTCACCCCACTGCCCCCTCTTTCCCCCCTTGGTGTCCATATGTTTGTTCTCTTCATCTATGCCTATGAGAGCATTCTTTTTTTTTTTTTTTAATGCGAGCATTCTTAAAAAACACTGGGTATTGTCAGCCTTTTACATCTTTGCAAATTCAAATAGCCAATTTGTACATTTTTCTTACATTTATTGCTCATTTATATTTCCTTTTCTCCAGGAAACTGCTCCCCAGTCTCCCTCCCCCTGCCCCCTATGTGTGTATCTCCTTTCAGTAAAACTGGGTTTGTATGAGGCATATTTTTTTTACCAGCTCTGGTATTAATATTGGTTATATTTTGTAACCTGCTCTTTTAATTTAACTGTTATCATATACACTGGCAATTCCTTAGGAATTGGTTTCTTCCCACGTGACTTTTAAGAGCTGTAGTATGTACATCCTAAATACATGCTATGGATGTATTTAACAAACTTCCTATTATTATGTGTTTTGGTTATTTCTCACTTTGGCTATTGTAAATAATGTGTTGATGAACATTTCTATACATCATTCATTATATATAACTGATTATTTCCTTTGGATAACTTTCTAGATGTAAAATTGCTGAGTTAAATATAGAGCTTTGATAGGTATTACCAAACTGCCTCTGAAAAGGCTGTATTAAACAAATCACGATTGGGATATTGAAGAAATTATTTCCAGTGAGTTAAAAAGTTCTAGAAAACTTGATCTAAAATAAGACTCAGTGCAGCCAGCTTCCAGTGAACTGCGTGTACATCATTCATTTTGTAGGTTATCACATGAGAAGTGTATTTCCTTCTGTCTGCAGTGCAGCTAGGATTGTTCTGATTTTCCACGAATTATTGTGTGCTCAGAGAATGGAAAATGCAGGAAACTTCTAAGTCAAAAAGAAAATTTTGGAAGATGACAGTGCTAGAATCAACATCACAGAATGCAGAGCAAATAAACTGAGGATTATCTGTTAATTTATCTTCCAATTGCTCAGATTACTAAGTGCCAATTAACAATTTATTCTCAGAAAACTGAATTTTAATACTTTCACACTTTATTTATACTTACAGTTTTGTCTTTCACATTCCAGAAGACAGCAGCTCCTTCCCTGATTTAAAAGAATAAACTAAGTTAAAGGTGGAATACATTCTTTAGGGCCACACATAAAGCCATGCTTAGGTAGCTTCTAGAATGCATCTAGAAGGCCAATTTTTAAAAAAATGATTTATTATTGATTTGACATGATGGTCCCTGGATGGATATGATAAACAAAAGCTACTGTTTGAATTTCCGATAAAAAACCTGACCCCTCAAAAATTCATGGATTTCTCCTGTGGTGTGCAGAATAAATAACTATTATTGTAAAACCATGTAACTTCAGGTATCTAGACTCTTTCATACCTGATGCAATTCTTTTTTGTTTTTTTAAATTAATTAATTTCTTTTCGGCTGCGCTGGGTCTTTGTTGCTGCGTGAGGGCTTTCTCTAGTTGCAGTGAGCGGGGGCTACTCAACGTTGCGGTGTGCGGGCTTCTCATTGCGGTGGCTTCTCTTGTTGTGGAGCACGGGCTCTAGAGCGCAGGCTCAGTAGTTGTGGCACACGGGCTTAGCTGCTCTGCGGCATGTGGGATCTTCCCGGACCAGGGCTTGAACCCGTGTCCCCTGCATTGGCAGGCGGACTCCCAACCACTGCGTACCACAGAAGTACCCTGATTCAATTCTGGTGTACAGATATCAGAATAAGGAAATTTTTGAGACCTGTCTCATTAGCTCTCATTAGGCAGATTCTGCTATGAGAAAAGAATAAAGGGTCATGCTTTTAATATCTGTGGAATAAAGAGACTGAGGTAAATTAAAGCCTCAGATGGTAAAGGCACCTATGAAATAATGCCAGCCATCCCTACAGTGCTCAGAGTAGACCTGCAACAAAGCCACAGGAGGCCCTCACAATCCAAGTCTGCCTTTGACAAAATTTAAGTCTAAAAACTGTTAGGGAACTTGTTTTGATTTCTGAAGTCTGATGTGTTAAGCTGTTTTAGGTAGTAAATAAAAAAAAGAAAAATAAAAGAAAAAGGAGTTACAGCTCTGGGTCATTACACCAGAGGAAGGAAGGGTAGAAATGAAACAAAGGTAGGGGCTTCCCTGGTGGCGCAGTGGTTAAGAATCTGCCTGCCAATGCAAGGGACATGGGTTCGAGTCCTAGTCCGGGAAGATCCCACATGCCGCAGAGCAACTAAGTCTGTGTGCCACAACTTTTGAGCCTGCGCTCTAGAGCCCACGAGCCACAACTACTGAGCCCATGTGCCACAACTACTGAAGCCTGCGTGCCTAGAGCCCATGCTCCGCAACAAGGGAAGCCACCGCAGTGAGAAGCCCACGCACCGCAACCAAGAGTAGCCCCTGCTCGCCACAACTAGAGAAAGCCCGCGCGCAGCAACGAAGACCCAACGCAGCCATCCATCCATCCATCAATCAATCAATCAATAAATGGTAAAAATATGATGTTCCCATTACCATTCTTCAAACCGTCTTGAGCAATGTGCTTAGTATGTGTGTGGGTCTGTGCTTAGCATCTGGGATGCAAAGATGAGTATGGTCTAGATCCTCTGCTCCAGGAAGTCCCAATCCAGAGAACACTGATCCACGGACCACCAATTATAATAGTGTGATCCATGCTGTAACAGAGTTACGCAGAATCTAGATGGATGTACACCAGAGGGACACGGTTCCTAAAGGACTAGCAGAGCCAAATGAGAAAACGAGGAAATACCCTTGGGGAAATACCCCAGGCTCCAGGAAAAGGTGTGAGGAGGGCAGGCAACGTCTCAGAATAAAGAGCCAGTAGTTTGAACGGCTGCGGATGAGGGGAAGTGGAGGGCACTCAGGTCAGAGGCGGGGAAGAGCCAACGCCTGAAGGAACTTCGTGCTGTGATAAGGCGTTTGGTCACATTCTGTAGAATTTTAAGGACAGTACAGTGATCAGAATTACCCACTGAAAAATTGCTCTGCCTACAAACAGACAGACAGACTGCTGGTGGGGTGAGAAGACAGGCAGGGAGACCAAGCAGTGAGTGTGGCAAAAGGCCAGGGTGGGGTCTCAGGATATGGATTTGGGAGGTGTTTAAGGCCACAGCCAGAGCACTGGTTCAGAGAAGCACCTCAAAGCAGATGAGAGATCCCAGGAACTCCTCAGTATGGCGCTCAAGCCACATGTGACTACCGGGCACCTGAAACAGGCCTGGTCCAAACTGAGAGCTGCTATAAGTGGAAAATATATGCCGGGTTTCGGAGACTTAGTATGAAAAGGAGAATGTAAATCTCACTAATTGTTGACTGATTACATGCTGAAATGATAATAGTTTAAATAAAATATACCAGTAAAATTAATTTCAGGCAATATATGATGTTATTATTAGTGTTGGTCAAAATTAAATTCATCTTTTTTTAAATTAAAAATGCGGGCTTCCCTGGTGGCGCAGTGGTTGAGAATCTGCCTGCCAATGCAGACAACACAGGTTCGAGCCCTGGTCTGGGAAAATCCCACATGCCACGGAGCAACTGGGCCCGTGAGCCACAATTACTGAGCCTGCGCATCTGGAGCCTGTGCTCCGCAACAACAGAGGCCGCGATAGTGAGAGGCCTGCGCACCGCGATGAAGAGTCACCCCCACTTGCCACAACTAGAGAAAAAGCCCATGCACAGAAATGAAGACCCAACACAGCCATAAATAAATAAATAAATACATTGTGTATTATTAAAAAAAAAATAAATAAAAAAAAATAAAAATGCGGCTATAAGAAAATATATTATTACATTCGCGGCTTGCATTTGTGCCTTGCGTTGTATTTCTACTGGATGATGCTGATCTGGAGGACCTCAGAAATCCAAATTCCTTACTCAAGTCAAAAGGGGTGTTTTTCTACTGGCACTAAATGTTGAACGCTTGATTATGTCCAAGGAAAGTAAGGCATCCACAGGAACAAAGACAGAGCTTCCAGTTATCATCAACTGTAAGAACTAAGACCACAGAAACTTCATCAAAGTCTGGATTCTTATGGATGTTCCATGTATTTCTGTTCTGCCACTTATTAGTCCTTTGACTGTGTGTAATTCACTTAATCCCTCTGACCCTTGGGAATAAAAGATCTTCCTCAAATGTTGTGAGGATGAGATTATTTTAAATGGTTTCTATTATCATTACCACTTCCACTCAGCTACTCTGGAGTATCTGGTATTAAAACAACCTTAAAAAAAAAAAAAAACCTTTAAATAAAAGGAATAAATGTATGTGGATCAGGGTCCCAGTCTGAAGTCTCTAGAGAGGTAAGGTGATCTAAAACTTTAGCTTCAGAGGGCGAAGATGGAAAAGGAAGAAAAGACAGTGGGGCAGGCAGCATGCACCTGATAAGGGGCACTGAAGATGAATGGGAAATAAGATGCTTACATATTCTTAGTAAATGAAAACCCACATTTACAAATAAAGGCAAGTACACACCAAGTTACCTGAATGGGCCTCTGTTAATGACCTCAGCCTGAGCTTCCTTCAGTCTCTTGCTCTCAGGAAGGCGGGAAGCTGTGGGGAGTCCACTCGGTTCCCTAAATCCCTGCGTTCTGCAGGGCACCATTATTTCCACCAGTGGTTCCTGACCTTAGCTTTGTCCAATGCTCTCTCTTTTTTTTTTTTTTTTTCGGTACGCGGGCCTCTCACTGTTGTGGCCTCTCCCGTTGCGGAGCACAGGCTCCGGACGTGTGGGCTCAGAGGCCATGGCTCACGGGCCCAGCCGCTCCGCGGCATGTGGGATCTTCCCGGGCCGGGGCACAAACCTGCGTCCCCTGCATCAGCAGGCGGACTCTCAACCACTGCGCCACCAGGGAAGCCCCCCAATGCTCTCTTTTTATAACGTGTTAAGTGCACCCTTTACTGTCATGAATTATGAGCGGTGCAAAAAACCTGCATATATGATACACAGATGACATAATGCTTAAAGTTAATTTAGAACAAAATGAATTAAAAAATCCCTAATCTTTTCCCTAGGGGGGAAAATTCTTTATTTCATAAGAGGATTTACCAGCAGATGCCTAAAAGTGACAAACTCTCCTATTCAAATCAGAACCAAAGAATATATTTAAATCACAAATAAATTTTGAAACATCTTCTGTTAAGAGAGAAGGTACACCTGCATCTTTAAGGACCATATTACCTGGCCACAGCCCATCTTCCAGTGGAGTTGCTTTCTTGTCTTACCTGAAGAAGAATATTGTTCCAGGATCACCTTCTTTTGCAGAATTTTCCATACCTATCACCAAAATATTTGCTGCATCTGTGATAAATGAGCAAAAAGCTATGTCACAAGGTGACACAAGATTTAAGTCACCTATAAACTTTTAACAAAGTATTTGTGATTATCGCTTCATATACCATGAAGTGCTCTACAACACACTGTCCATTTTTCTACTAAGGTTTCTGAAAGTATTTAATATATGAAAATGCAAAGACCATAAGAAATTACTTGAACAAAATATTCAACAACCTGTGACACTATTATTAGTGCTATTTAAAACTCATTCACGCCCATTTTGATTCAGTAATCGCTAGTCCAGCTGATAATTATTAAAGTCTTAGTATAACTAAGGTTCAAGAATTTGGGGGGGTTGGGGAGGGATGGACTGGGAGTTTGGGGTTAGCAGATGCAAACTATTACATAGAGAACAGATAAACAATAAAGCCCTACTGTATAGCACAGGGAACTATATCCAATATCCTGTGATAAACCATAATGGAAAAGAATATAAAAAAGAATGTATCTATATAAAGGAATGTATATGTATAACTGAATCACTTTGTTGTACAGCAGAAATTAACACACTGTAAATCAACTATAGTTCAATTAAAAAAAAGAAAAAAGAATTAAACTTCTGTAAAAGTAATTTAAAATAAAATTTGAAGAGCCATTAATATATTCTCTTCCTTTAAATATCATTTTATCAATAATATAATTTTAATATTCTCAAACTACTCTTTCCACTGAATTTTAAATTATATTGTATAAAGTGTGGAAAATAGAAAACATACCGAAACAAAGATACAGTCCATTTCAAAACATATCTGATTTCAAAGTTAGTCATGAGAACTACCATGACAGTCACCTGTAACTATTTAAATATTTTAACATTTTAAATATTAAATACATACATATACATTTACCAGTGAGCAGTTACTTTGTATATTAGTTTAGTAGTATTTATTTTAAGTATATAAATATTCTATAATGTAAACTATAAATAACATGTTAGTCTATCAATTAATATACTAATATGTAAAATGTTACATAATTTCTTTTTTTTACATAATTTCTTTTTTGAAACTAAACACATTTTAATAGAAAACAAAATACAAAATAACCCTTTTCAGAAAACAGAAATATTTAATCCTTTTCCCACAAATTAGAAGTTGCTTTATCCTCAGAGCATAGTTTTCCATGCGTGTGTTTGTATTTAAGATTTGTTTCACAGACTGTTCATTAAACTGCTACTGCAAAGCAGGAGGTGGGAGGGATGATCTCAGGAGAAAAACACACTGGAAAAGCCGCACCTCGGAATCATTTGGAAATTCAACATTTTCTAATTCTATCTTTTGATGTTTCACTTCCGATTATTTTCATTTCTTTACCACAATCTGTCCTTTTAGGGGAGAAAGTTGTTGCATAGAAGTGCAGCCACGAAAAGAATCTTTCTTTCCCACCAACATAATTTCTTAACATAAAATTAGGATCCTCAAAGCTTCAGAGCTCCTGATAGAGGCTGGGGAATGGGGGATTCAGATAGAGACCAACTCCTAACTCCTTTTCTTTGGTGAAATCACACTTCCTTGAGTTCTACATCTATAGAGGGCAAGCCTCACCCATATGGCCAAGAACACCACAAATGAAGTGGGAAAGATCCAGGCTGGTGAGAGTAGTACGAGAAGCCCCCAAGTGTGTGATGCACAGGGGCACCCTGCCAACAGTCTCTGGAATCAGCCAAGAATACCGCAGGGCAATTTTTCTTCTTAGAGGCCCTGGACATAGCTCTGTTTCTCTAAGTCAATTATGTTTGGTTTTTGCCACCAAATGGTACAAACAGTCGGTTCAGATCATCAAGGCTGAGAAAGCACAATGACATTTCGATTGTTTCTTACAGGGTCGGTGACTCTTTTAAGAATTTTCTCTGTAGCAAAGAGGTTTTCAACCTACTATTTTTTGCTACTTGGAGGTAAATTCATGAATCTTCCATCAAAGTGTTCCAAGTCATTTTTTTAACATAAAGCAGGTGATTTCTCAAGAAGCCTTCCTCACACTATCCTAAAATCCTCTCAGTTTAATTCTCTTTTAAAATATTCATTGAGTTTATCTTTTAACTAATTTTGTTAGTTTTAAAGTGTTGGACTGTACTGGTAAATTTTTCTTTAAAGGCTCTCCCCAACAGTTCTATCAATTTTACGGTTCTTCTTTAAAACTAAAATAACTTTTTAACGTGACAGAAATGAAGTGTCATGGCCTTTGATCATCCCAAGTAAGAGTGATCCTATAAATACAGCTGAATAAACCATACTGATTTTAATCTTCGAACTAAGTTCTCTGTGAATATGTTTTAAATTTCCTATCTTTGTATGTCATTTGTATAAAGAGATTCAACGCCACTTTTATGATATAATCCTTCAAATAGAAAATGAGGGGCTTCCCTGGTAGCTCAGTGTTTAAGAACCCACCTGCCAATGCAGGAGACACGGGTTTGAGCCCTGGTCCGGGAAGATCCCACATGCCGTGAGCAACTAAGCCCGTGCATCACAGCTACTGAGCCTGTGCTCTAGAGCCTGTGAGCCACAACTACTGAGCCCACGTGCCACAACTACTGAAGCCCACGTGCCTAGAGCCTGTGCTCCGCAATAAGAGAAGTCACCACAATGAGAAGCCCGTGCACCGCAAAGAAGAGTAGCCCCTGCTTGCTGCAACTAGAGAAAGCCCATGCGCAGCAACGAAGACCCAACACAGCCAAAAGTAAAAATAAATAAATTTATTAAAAAAAGAGAAAATGAAACCTAAACAAATGTATATTTAAAACAGTTATTATAGGAAAATTATTTTCTAATACATTTTAACATACTTGGCCCCAGATTCAAGAAGATGTACCTCTAGGCAAGCTTGTTACTTCAACATATCCATGGGAGGCCAGATCTTGAGAGAGACTTCCAAGATGGTATTCATCTGCGGTTGCAAATGCAGTACAGCGCATCAGGTCCTGTGCCAGAGAGAGGAGAATGAGATGGGTTACCAAGAGGTGCCCGTGATGGTTGTCTTTACAGGGAGGATGGCGTGCTGCAAAGCTGGCACTCGAGAGTTTTCTCCAAACATTTCAACGGTTCAGACAAAGGATGTGAGAAGGATGCAGAGAAAGAAGTTACAAGGAGGTAGATTTCAGCTCAATCTATGGCAAGAACTTTCTCTTAATAGTCAAAGAGATGGAATGGGCTATCAGAACAGGGAGCCACACCGGCTGGTTGTGCTTCAAGCACAGACTGATCAAAAAATAGAGAGGATTTAGGCACCATACAAGGCACCTGGATGAGATGCTAGTTAAAGCCTGTCCAACCTTGAGTTTCCATGGTTCTTTTCCACAGCAGCATTATTATTTGACGTCATCTGATAACTTGCCGCTAGCCATGTACAGGCAGAGATTACTTTGAATCTACTAAGGAATTACAGAAATTTTTACTCTAGTTAATTGTACTCTGGTTAAAAATTCTGTGAATCTGAGAATGTGTCCAGGTTTGGTGAGTGCTTTGGATTTCTGCACTAGGAGTCTTACCTGTGTGTACATGCACACATTTACATTGTGTGTAGCTATACAGTATACATATGGTAAGCATATGGTACAGCACACAGTGTTTTTGTCAAACTGTAGGTCACAAGCCGTTAGTGAGTCCTGATATCAATTTAGTCGGCCCAAAGCAGCTTAAAAAAATAACAAACTAGGGGATTCCCTGGTGGCACAGTGGTTGAGAGTCCGCCTGCCAACGCAAGGGGTGCGGGCTTGTGCCCCAGTCCGGGAGGATCCCACGTGCGTGGAGTGGCTGGGCCCGTGAGCCATGGCCGCTGGGCCTGCGCGTCCAGAGCCTGTGCTCTGCAACGGGAGAGGCCACAGCAGTGAGAGGCCCGCGTACTGCAAAACAAATAATAATAATAATAAAAATAAACTAAACAGAATAAAACAGAAAATATTAGAGTACATAATTCATAGTAAGGGTAAATTTTATTTTATGACATTTTCTGTCACATATATGTCTATATAGGTATACCGGGTCACTACATATACACTGTAATGTAAAATAAATTTCTCACTATGGAATACGGTCAATGAAGTTCAAAAGCTATCGGCAGAGGTGTTAAGAGTTCAGGCACAGAATCAGATTCATTAAAAAAAAATCAGAATAACAATAATGCCTACTTGATAGGGTTGTTGTGAAGTTTAAACAAGCTGATGAATGTCAACTACTCAGAAACATGATTAGCACAAATGTTCAACATTTTTTAGATAATAGTTATTATTACGGCACATGCAGATTTGTTTAAACCATCAAAATTTATGGGAGGCTAAAAAGTTTATCAAGTAATTTACAACTGAATTTTCATTTGTTCGTAATTTTATATTTTAGTGTCTATTAATCAGAACATTAGTGATTCTACTGTCTTTGATACATATGGTGCTTTGGCCCATATGTATCAAAAGAGGTATATGAGTCACTAAATCAAAATTTATTCCTAGGATTTACTCATCTTGGCTCCTAAATTCTTTCCCTTTCTGCTACATTCCTAGTATGAAATTCAAGAAAAGTTGTACATAAATTTCTTCCTTCCTCCCACTTTTGTTACCTAACTCCTGGCTCTTTCTCAAGAGATGACCTAACTCTGCTTTGCTTTTTCTTCCATCTGTTACACAGTTCAAATGTGTGGTTTAAAAAGTAGCAGAAGAATAAATGGAGGACCTGAAAAACATAAAATCCGTAAAATATCCACTCATAAGCAAAACATTCAATTGTCTAATTGATTTTAATTCAATTAGTGAAAAAATTAAAAGTCAGACAAGTATGCTGAAATTGTCACTGAATGTGAGCTAAACGGATGCAGGACCCTCCTGTTGCAGATATCTGATATGCTGATTCCCGTATTCATTATGAAGGTAAGAACACGTTAATTTCCAAAAACATATGGATCCATACAAAGTAAAGGAATCAGTTATGTGCTTAAGGTTTAGAAGTGCCAGCACTAGTTGTTCTTTTAAGGCTCCGTGGAGTTAAAAAGAGCTGGCAGGATATGAGATTAAGCTGGCTGAAAGAAAGGAATCCTGGAAAGAAGCATCAGGTAAGGCCATGGCAGGCAGGCTCTACCCTACAAAAGCTGACAAACTTACTGAAGTTTGCTAAGCAAAATCCCAGTGCATTCGGTTGGATGTCAGAGTGACTCTGGCTGGGGCTGCTAGAGCTGACATGCTTAGTTTAGGCTGGAGTGGGAAGAGAAGGCGGCATGAAGGAGAAGACAGGAGACAGTCAACAGCTAGTCCAGCGGAGGGTTTCCCAGAACTGTACTAGAAACGGCATTGCCGACTGTTTCTCGAATCATTGCCGTAAACTGGCAGCCCAGAGAACTATCCAACTCAAGAGCTGACCCACATAGTGTTTTCAAGATTTGAACAAACTATCAACAATAAATGGCCATTTGACACAAAATCCAGATTTCCACCATCTTTCGCTCCAGTGGAAGATCTAGCAGTAACTGACAAGGGTCGGCGGGGGGCGCGGGGTGGGCCTGATTCTCCAGCCGATGCAGTCCCTCCCACTCCCTGTCTCGTGCCTGCTTCACCATCATCTTTCTTACTGACCAGGCCCATCTGTGCTAAAAAAAACTTATACTATTTTACCTTCTCAAAAATGGAACAAGTCGGGCTTCCCTGGTGGCGCAGTGGTTAAGAATCCGCCTGCCAATGCAGGGGACACGGGTTCGAGCCCTCGTCCAGAAAGATCCCACATGCCGCGGAGCAACTAAGTCCGTGTGCCACAACTACTGAGCCTGCGCTCTAGAGCCCGCGAGCCACAACTACTGAGCCCACATGCCACAACTACTGAAGCCCGTGTGCCTAGAGCCCGTGCTCCGCAACGAGAAGCCACCGCAGTGAGAAGCCCGCGCACCGCAACAAAGCGTAGCCCCTGCTTGCCACAACTAGAGAAAGCCCGCGCACAGCAGCGAAGACCCAACACAGCCAAAAATAAATTAAATAAATTAAAAAAAGAAATGGAACAAGTCAAAGCATTCAACCACTATTTCCGTGAGAAAATATATGCTGAGCTCCAAAGAGTCAGGTTATAAATTTTTAAACACAATTTGTTTTTAACTTAGTCATTCCAAGGATCTTTGCAGAGTTTCTGAAGATGGTCACCTTTCCTTCTCTCACCATCTCCTATTTAGTTTGGCTCAGAGTTCTAGCCAATGTCTCACAGCTTATTTGGCTTAGCCTACGTTACATAACTTATATGGCTCGCCACACTACTTTCTGTATCCTCCTTAAACATCTGGGATGTGAGTCTCTGTTTAAGTTATGAATCTTCTGTGAATAAATGATTCACAAGGTTTTCCAATTTGACTTGTTAGAAATATCTTTTTTGGGTTTTATTTCCTTTGTTTTTCAATTTCAAGATTGTATTTAAATCCACTTGGTAAAGGGAAAGA